ATAATGATGGTGGACTCTTGTTGTGGTTAGTTTTCTGTCTGTCCTGAGCTACTAGTGGATTTGTTGTGTCTCCTTATTACAAAACAAACAAAAACAAAAATAACAAAAAGAAAAAACATTCTGTTCAGTGAGGGAGGATTCTTACTCAGAGAGTAGGAGTGTACTGCCATGTTCAGAAATACGTAGAATCGAATGGAACCTTCCAATATTAGTGAAGGCTGATGAAAGAAGCCTTGCAATCCCTGAGCCCTGTGCTCAGGCCTGTTACATGCTGTGGTACTTCTCCAACAGAAGACCTGCCCTGGTCCTGAAAAGTTAGTCATGAGTAAAGCAATACAAGTTTGCCATAGTGAGGAATGTAGTCCAAGGCTAGAATGTGGTGTGTTATTCAGACAAGGAAGAAAGAGGTCTGTGTGGGCTGTATAGGGAGGATTCACAGAGGAGGAATTCTGAAGGATGGGGAGAATTTAAATAGAAAGTAGGGCATTGCTGATGGGAAAGTACTCAAATGAAAACATGGAAATAGGATCCAGCATTATGTGCACCAGCAGTTTCTTTCAGCAGAGAAACATATTGAGTGCCTACTATTCATGTGGGTCAAATGGCCCTTATAAACAAAAAACACAAATAGTAGTTTCTATCTCTGAGGAGAGACAGAAAAAAACAATTATGGGCTGAGAAAGGGAAGGCAGAGGATACAGAAGTCATAGGCTCAATGTATAAAATGCATGTGTGTGAAAATATCCTGACATAAGCACAATCTTATGTACATTTTTGTGGTTTTTTTTGTTTGAGACAGGGTTTCTTTGTGTAGTTGTCCTGGAACTGGCTGGCCTTGAACCCAGAGGTCTATCTGCCTCTGCCTTTGCCCCCCAAGTACTGGGATTAAAGGTGTGCACCACTACTGCCTAGTGAAAATCTTTATAGGTACATATTTCCAAAATTTATGATGACTTTGGAGTTATATAGATATGAGCTTGAAAAGTAGGCCCACTAAATACCCTTGTGACTAGGTAAGCTAGTCTATCTATAGGTATATCTTTGAGTTATTAGCCCCTCTTTATACACAGAGGCAAATAATACCTTCCTTAAAGAGTAATATGAGCATTCATGAGTGTGTGTGTGTGTCTGTAATAGATAATAGACTAGCATAGGAGATGGGATAATTAATCTTGATTTAAATTACATTTAGGTTATTTATTGTGTTTATGGGTGTGGAGGTCAAAGAACAACTTGTGGGAATTGTTCCCTATTCTCTACTTCCACTATACAATCCCAGGAAACACACTCAGGTCATCAGGTTTGGTGGCACACTCCTTTATCTGCTGAGTCATCTCCCTTGTCCATAATCATTAGTCTTGTCAACTTGATCTGATTGAAAAGCACCTAGGAGATTGATAAAGCACACCTCTGTGTGTCTGTGAAGGTGTTTCTGAGAGGATTAACTAAAGGGGGTGAGATTTGTCTTAAATGTGAACAGTGCCATCCAAATATGAGCTGAGGCCCCATGAGGTAAAGGGAAACAAGAGAAAGCCCAGGAGTGCAGCACCCACCCCCCTTCCTCCCCTCTGTCTGCTTCCTGGCCACCATGAGGTGAGCGGCTTTGTTCCCATCCTTCCCCCACTGTAATGGACCCATATATAACCTTGAGCCAAAACATACTTCCTTCCTGGTTTTTGCTCAGGACATTTTGCCATGACAACAAAAGCCTGACTAACACAGAGAGATAGTTTTGCTTGCATATAGCTTGTAAAAGTGTAGGGAAAGGTATTATATAAACCCATGACTAACAAGTCAGGGTTCCCTACCATGTTTCCCTCATCAAATTTTGTATATGTGTATGTTTATTTCACCTTCACTTGGCAACAAGATGTTTTAAAAGACTTAAATCAGGATTATGTGGAAAGAAAAGTAGAAAGGAAATGGCCCTAGAGAAGGTTCAAGTCCTACCTACCACAGGATGTGATTTTTGGCAGGTTAATTTGCCCCTCAGAGACTCAGTTTACAAAGCTACAGAGTGAAAATACCAACCCCTATTTTTCTTTTTTTTTTTTTTTTTTTTTTTTTCTTTTTTTTTTTTTTATTTTTTTTATTTTTTTTTTTTTCGTGTGTGTGTGTGTGTGTGTGTGTGTGTGCGCGCGTGCGTGCGTGCGTGCGTGCGTGCGTGCGTGCGTGCGTGTGTGTGTGTGTGTGTGTGTGTGTAGCTATCAAGTGCAAAGCGGACGTGTGTGTGGCAACCCCTATTTTTCAAGGGTCAAGATGAGCATGGTGATGCATGCTTTTAATCCTAGTACTCTAGAGGCAGAGGCAGGCTGATCTCAGTGAGTTGGAGGCCAGCCTGATCTACATAGTGAGTTCCAGGACAGACAGGGCTCCAAAATAAAGAGACCTTGTCTCAAGGGTTTTAGTTGAGGTTGTGGGAGTGTTAGGAAATTCACTTAAGTTATCATATTTATATCATAAATAACATAACTGTGGGACAAAGGAATATCACAGCTAAGCTTGGCTTGGCTGATCAGGAACTTCCAGACAGTGGCTTCAAGTGCCTACTAATGTAGTTTGGAAATTAAGCAGGTGGTATGGTATGCCATCCATACTTGCTCTGCCTAGTTAACAGAAATAACTTTCTGCCATGCTTTGGAAGATAATACACATTAATCATCTGCCTTCAACTTACTCAGGCAGATTCCGAGACCTCTACTTAAATCTTAAAATTCATTTTACAGAGGAAACAGAGGCTTAGAAAGTACTATGAACAGGGCATAATTCATATTGTAGTTTGAAAATGGTACCCTCTGAATACAGCAACATAAACCATGGCTCTTGGGGTTGTCCTCTACAGCAGCTCTGTGAAAGAATATCTTAAAACCTGTTACTTTCTTATTCTATCATACTATCTCTTGTTGTGTCTTTTTATGGGTATACAGCATACTTAGAGCTAAATACTGAATTGAAACAAAGCAATCAAGTATATTCTATATACAGCTTTTCTGCTAGAACCTGGTAGGCTTTTAAAAATGAATTTAATGGAATCCTGTAAGCACTCATTACTTAATAAATTAAGGTACTTGATTATTAAACCATCATGTGATAGAAAAAGATATAATAAAATAAGTATTAATGGTCCAACTATTTGAGTATCCCCCAAATAAATAAATGAGCTTAAAAATATCTATCTATACATATATATGTTTATGTACATTTATAAATATAACTAGTTCATACTTGTGCCAAGAACTACAGATTACTAAAGTTTCACCCATACTTTTACCTTTATTCTATGCCTGTCTACCCTGAAAACATAAATAGTTCCTTGTTGAACAGTTCAATTTATTTTTGTTCAGAAAAGGGAAAGTATAGAAAGAATAAATATTATTTAATTTTTTTCCAAGACAGTTTCCTGTGTAGCCCTGGCTGTCCTGGAACTCTCTTTGTAGACCAGGCTGGCCTCAAACTCACAGATCCTCCTGCTTCTGCCTCCCAAGTGCTGGGATTAAAGGCATGTGCCACTACTAAACTTTTAATTTTGAAGTGTGTGTATGTGTATACAAGTGCAGTTGCCAAGGAAGCCAGAAGAGTAAGTCAGATGTCCTGGAGCTGGAGTTGCAGGCAGTTATAAACCACCTGATGTGGGTGCTAGGAACTAAGTTCAAGTCCTCTACAAGAGCAGTACCCTTAACCACCGAGCCATCGCTCCAGCCACCAGAACAATGGTTCCTTATACAAAAGAAAGGCCATAATGGAGAGCTGCTGACACAGGATAAAAGGGGACATGGAACAGATTACTCAGAAGCAAAGGGAAATAAGTACATAAAGTTTATGAGTACTGGTAAAAAATAAAGACATCCCAGGGGCTTGAAAGATGGCTCTGGAGTTAAGAACACTGGCTGCTCTTCCAGAAGACCTGTGTTTGACTCCCAGCACCCACATGGTGGCTTACAAATGTCTCCAGTCCCAGAGTATCAGACCCTCTTCTGGCCTCTGTAGGTACCAAAAATGTGCATAGTACACAGACATACATGTGAGCAAACACTCATACACATAAAATAAAACAAATATTTTTTAAAATTAAATAAAGACACCCCTGTGGTGATATTATGTTCCCCAAAATATATCGTGCACCCTAATAAATTTATCTGGGGTCAGAGAGCAGAACAGCCACTAGACAGATATAGAGGCTAGAAAATGGTGGCACTCACACCTTTAATCCTAGCCTTCTGGAGGCAGAGATCCATCTGGATCTCTGTGAGTTTAAAGCCACACTGGAAACAGCCAGGCATGGTGACTCACGCCAGGAAGTGATGGCAGAAAGCAGAAAGGTATGTAAGGCGTGAGGACCAGAAACTAGCTGGTTAAGCTTTAAGGCTTTTGAGCAGCAGTTCAGCTGAGATTCATTCTGAATAAGGACTCAGAGGCTTCCAGTCTGAGGAAACAGGATCAGCTGAGGAACTGGCGAGGTGAGGAAGCTGTGGCTTGTTCTGCTTTTCTGATTTTCCAGCATTCACCCCAACACCTGGCTCCCGGGTTTGTTTTTATTAATAAGACCTATTAAGATTCGTGCTACACACTCCTGAACAGATGATAAAATCCCTTCTTAGAGAATTCCTAAAGTGAGATTCAGAGAACTGCAAAAGCAGAAGAAATGTTGCACTTAGAAATATCGTACTGGACTGATGATAAAATTTAGAGTAGTTTGGTGATGTGGGTGGACAAGGCCACGTCAGAATCTGGACCAGAACACAAATTTCCTCACTTCTGGATATACTCTCTTTTCACCCACTACACTGTCCAGTGTGTGTGCTCTGCTTCAGTGTGTGCCTTTGGACAGTCAGAGGAACAAAATTCTGGAGTAATTAGACCAGGTATAGACACTGACCTAACAATGGATGAGATTATTTTAAACAATAACGTGAGAAGTCATTTGAGTATGGCAAGTAGAGGAAAAATAGAAAAGAAGGAACTGTAGACAACAATTAACAGAAGCACTAGAGGAAATAGTCTCCTCTTTTGTATTGTGATTTTATTATTGTTATTTATTTTGTTAAGTCCATATATTATATAAAACATAACAGGAAAAAAATCAACAAATTTATAAAATAAATTGAAAATGTTTGGATGAAAAAACACAGGAGCATTGCCTTCGTGTCTATAGGTCTCTCAGTATGCTGTTGGTCTTGCATCTTAAGTATCAAGGAAAGATATCTAGCTTGAAACAAAAGTTGACATGCTGCAAGGTTAAGGAGCAGTTAGTTTGGTGATGGGTCAGGAAATAGTATTCTTTAAACCTTATCCTAAAATATTGGCTATAATAAATGCTGATATGCAAAACACAAGCTTTTATCAGACAGCAAGAGGAAAACCTGAGTGAATGAATATAACTTACCTCCAAGTCCTCTGAAAGGAGGTAAGTAAATAAATACTGTGTCTTACCACTGTTCCCCCCAAAGCATTATTCTAAACATGCAGGAGGGTGTTATGAGCAGCTACAATCAATCAGATCTACCCAGAGGTAAGCTCAAGGCCAAGAATAGGAGAGTGGCTGAAGAAATTCTCCTGGGGCCAGTACCATTTCAGAGAATGCCCATCTATGCTAGAAGATAAATCTACAGCCTATGTTCTTTTCATTCAAAAGGACAGTCCCAGTTTCAGCCTTGCTGAAAAGAGGCACTCTTGACCTGCTACTGACAACAGCTGGGAACAGGGTAAGCCTGGCATAACGTTACCTAGCAAGCACATGCTAGCTGTTCGGTTTGAAATCTACCAAACTGTAAATGTGAAGGGAAAGAAAGCATTGAAGACGGAGCAGTTCCTCAAGGTAAGGAACAAAAAGAGGGATTAGGCACTCTCTCAACTCTATATGGAGAACTTCTGTCTCAAGCTAGGCAGGAGATAAGAGTATTATCAAAGGCTGACCAGTCCATTTGATGACTAAAATAGGGGGGTGGGGGCAACAGGAAGAAAGTCAATAAAAGGAGTATTTCTAGGTCTGATTAGGAAGCGAGTCTAAGGCAGCCACACCAAAAGTACCCGACTTGTGACTCAGGCAGCAATCTGGTGGCAAAATATTTCAAGATATTTTCAATCCAGAGAAGTGTATAAAAAAATATTGTTAACTGAGCAAATTAAAACCAAACTTCCAACAGTAGGAAATCTCTTCAGATCTGAAATCAAAGACACTCACTTTTCATCAATTTTGTGCAGCATTAGGAAAAAAAAAGTAACAAATGTAAAGATTTGTTTTATTTCTACTAGGGGAAGGAAGAGGATAGATATAAGTTTTATCCAATTTGCTGTTCGCTGTGTACACACATACCCACACACATACATATACATACACACCAAAAGTTCCCCCCCAAAACCAAAAAACCACCCTCAAACTATACCAATACTTCATTTTGACCAAAAGAATAGATCCTGGGAAGAAGTGCAAAATGCAAAATCAAATGACCGAGAAATGCTGAACAAACAGCATTATTAATATACAAAATATTTATATTACTGAACTAGTAACAGGTGATGTTCTCCGTGTCTGTAAAACTTTGGAACAACAGAGCTGATTGTTAAATCTAGTCCATGCCAGCTTCCAGAACCCAGAGGATTTTAGTTAGCTTCATTTTTCGATGCTTCATCAAAATTTTCTACAAGATCTGGTAAAAAGAAGGAAGGAAAAAATAAATACAATGCAAATGAGTCAAAATAGTTGCAACTAGAGTTAGGCAAAAAAGGAAAGGCAGAAACGAACTAATGGCATTTTAGTAGTAATGACTTTAAAAACAGTAATCTTAAGGAAATGCCCTTCAAAAATGTATGGAAAACTCCTAGGGGCTGGAGAGATGGTTAAAAGACTGGGTGTTCTTTCCAGAGGTCCTGAGTTCCATTCCCAGCAACCACATGGTGGCTCACAACCATCTATAATGAGATCTGGCACCCTCTTCTGGTCTGCAGGTGTACATGCATACAGAATGCTGTATACATAATAAATAAATCTTTGCCAGGTGGTGGTGGCGGCGGTGCATGCCTTTAATCTCAGCACTCGGGAGGCAGAGGCAGGAGGATCCCTGTGAGTTCGAGGCCAGCCTGGTCTACAGAGTGAGAACAGGCACCAAAACTACACAGGTTTCTGTCTCAAAAAAACAAAACAAACAAACAAACAAAAAAAACCCAAAAAACTTCTAAGGTGTAGATTTTTTATGTCAGTTTAATGCCAACAATTTTTAAAAATTATTTTATTATTTTATGTGTATGGGTGTTTGCCTGAATGTATGTTTGTGTACCATGTGAGTGCAGTACCCAAGGAAGCCAAAAGAGGGTGTTGGATCCCCTGGAACTAGGGTAAGGCTGTGATTCACCATGTGAGTGCTGGGAATTGAACCCAGGTCCTCAGGAAGAGAGGCCAGTGCTCTTATTCGCTGAGCCATTTCTCCAGTCCTCCAACAAAAAAATTTCAACAATAACAATGTATACTGATAATAAGAGTGATTTCAATTTAATACATGCAGGCAATAGAGCTTTGTGGAATATTTTCTGATGCTAAGTTCTGAATGAGGGAACTTCTGTGTTCTTATTTACTCTATCCTATTGTTGGGGTATCAGTCTGGACTCTGGTCTTTGTGATCTCTGTCAAAGAAACAGCATAAAAGATAGGTAAATGCATTTATAATAAAGTAGAGTACACACTCAAGGGGTTAAGTGTGGACAAGGCTTAAGAGACCATTGACCCAGACTATATCTTAGGCAGGCGGTATATTATTCCTGAAGTCTCCAGAACAAACAGCTTTGGGGGTGGGGTGTGGGGGGGGTGTTAGTGGTTTTTTTTGTTTGTTTTTTGTTTTTCAAGACAGGGTTTCTTTCTGTAACAGCTCTGGCTGTCCTGGAATTCACTATGTAGACCAGGCTGGTCTCAAACTCATAAGAGATCCACCTGCCTCTGTTTCCTGAGTGCTGGGATTTAAAGTCATGTGCCACCACTGACCAGCTACAAACAGCTTTTCTTGAGGGACTTTGTTCTCTTTAGGTAAGTGACAGACCTGTTTGGTTGGACACTGATAGAAGGCAATAGTGTGTCTTTGTTCTTTATCAGATAGCCTTCTACTATACAGTAATCTTTTACCAAGTTTAGCCTTCTGGATAGTATTATATAATGGCAGTTCAGGATAACATGTCTCATCCCATGGCCAGAGATAGGGCTTAGGGGACATTTTTCTGACCTGAAGTTCCAGTTCTTGGTTTTACAGGCTGATGATATGAGGGAGGGGCCGCTCTCCAATGTCTTCCAAGCCAACTAATATCTAACTACAAACCTAACACTATCCATATCACTATAAATCAAATGAAATCCAGTCAAAAAATTCTCTAAGTCATCTATGCAATAAGTGAGAAGAGATAAATTAATTTTTTTGGTTTAAAAAATGACACTATTAATTTATGTGTGTGTATATGTGTGTGTGCATGCATAGGTCAGAGGACAACTTGTACAAGTTAGTCCTCTCCTTCCACCACGTGGGTCCCAGGGATGAAATTCAAGTTGTCAGGCTTGACATCAATCATCTTTCTAGAAGAGTCTTACTGGTCTGAGACAAATTTTAACACTAACAAAATGTCTTTTACCTGGAACATCATCATCCTCTTCATCAATGTCTTCTGGTTTTGGTGCTTTACTATCCAATACTACAAAAAGTTTATGTGAATATTAGTCACTGAGAACAAAGAGCTTCACAGAACACCTCTAATACTTATCTTCTCTCTGTCTAAATATCCTATGGCTATTAAATACAGTCAATCTAAAATTCACTTCTTTTTTTTTGCTTAAGTAACACAAAAAACTGATATTTTAAATTAAATACATATTAACCACACAGTAATTGCACTGTGCAGTAAAGGTGAAAGATACATGCTATGTACGCAGTGTGAGCACATGACCCCTGAAACAGGAGGCTTTCTGATGGTTAGAGACAAGATCTGCATGAAATCAAGACCAACTTGGAAATTCATAATTTATGATTACCATACTTTAAATGGTCATCATAGTACCTACCAATGGACAATATTGTATCTAAGTTGTCTATAATACACATTTCAGTAATTAAAAAAGCAAACTATAAGTTTTATGAAGCACACAAGTGGCGATATACAAAGTATAAGAATTATCTACTGAGGCAAACCCTCTCAGTTTAAGTAACACACTTTGCTTTTGAGACAGGGTCTCTGGCACAGGCTGGCCTCAGTTTCCCTAAATTGCTGAGGATAACCCTGAACTTCTGTTCCTTCTGTGGGAACTGCAAGCATGTGCCATCACACCCAGTTTTTTTACTGCTAGGGATCAAACCAAAACTTAAGCATAGTATGCTAGGACTCTGTCAGCTGAGCTCCACCCTCAGTTTCAGATGGGATGGTTTTAAAATCATTAGGTTTTTTAAAGCAGGGAAGAGGGAAAAAAATACTAAACTGAGATGCATACCTTGTCGTGGGAACTGTTCAGCTAACTTTCTAAGGCTTGTTAAGCTGTCAGCACCAAGCTGACTTAATATTCCAGGAAGCATTTCTGTGATTGGTTTGGCTTCTGCATGGCCAGTAATTGCAAAGGTGTTAGCGGAGAGGGAAGCTTGGACTTTGGGGTTGTTGAAATGAATAACTGTTCCATCATCTTTAATCATGTTCACCTGTATGGGCACAGAAAACAATGTATTTCACATGCAAGATTCAACTAAAAATATCTTTTAAAGAAGCAGTTTTATCATTATGGCAGTTGACACAGTAGCAATCTCATAGCAGTAATTAGCTCAGCCGTGAATATGGCAGACAAAGATCCTTGCAATGGAGTACAATGGCGGTGGATAGCAGAGATTAATAGAATTGTTAAGAAATAGTCACCCGGGCCTCAAGGTGGAGGCACTTCATGTCCACTTTTTTTTTTTGGTTTGGTTTTTTGAGACAGGGTTCTTTGTTGTAGCCCTGGCTGTCCTGTAACTCAAGAGATTTGCCTGCCTCTGCTGCTCAAGTGCTGGGATTAAAGGCGTGTGCCAACCACCACCTAGCTTCTTTTTTAAATTTTTAGTTATTATTTGTATTATTGTATAAGGGTATGATGGAGGGCAGGATGGCATGTGGAGGTCAGAGGCAATATTGTAGAGTCACTTCTCTCTCCTTCTACCTCTGTGTGGGTTCTTAGGATCTAACGCAGGTCATCAGGCTTCTGAAGAGCATCTTGACTACCCCTGATTATTTGTTTTTAAATCAGACACAAAGGTCTTGTGATGTTGTCCTCAAATGGCTGGGGCTACAGGTGTATTGCTAGTTTGTTTTGCATTCTCTGGGGTACTCTGGGGTATTCCAGGTGCTAAGCTAAGTCCATCCCCAGCTCTTTACTTTTTATTTTGTGATAGATTCTTACGAAGTTTCCAGGCTGACCTTGAATTTGTGATCCTCCTGCCTCAGCCTTCTAAGTACCTAGGACTACAGATCTGCACCTACAGGCCTGACAATTTTCTCTAATTTCTTAAATATACCTTCTCAACCACCTTCACTAATTTCTGTAAACAAAGCTCTCCCACTCACTCACTCACCCTCCAGGACGTGCTTTGTTAATAAGCAGGAGTCCTTTAACACCATCCTGCCATTATTTCTTTAGCTTTTACCAATTTGATCTGACTATTTCAGATTAATTTATTTCACTGTCTTGGGATTTACAGAAACATAAGAGTGAATACATGCTATTTAAGTTATTTCTCTCTCATGTATTTCCTTTCTACATTTTTTTGTTGTTGTTTTGGTTTGGTATGATCTCATTCCACCATGTGGTTAATTCCACTATAAAGGTCACCTTGGTAATAAGCGCTTATTATATGAAGGTCAGAAGAGTCACACTCACTACTTTAGAGGCACCAAAGGGTGCTTGTCATCACACAGGCGCCAAGTGCCCTCGTGTCAGTGGGAAGTGGGTTCCCTTCTTCAGAGGACAGTCACCACTGACAGCAAACGGAGGTGGAGATGAGAGAAAGGGGTTTTTTAAGCTTTTCCAGACAAGGTTTCTCTGTATAGCCTTGGCTGTCCTGGATCTCACTCTGTAGACCAGGCTGACCTCAAACTCACAGAGATCCACCTGCCTCTGCCTCCCAAGTGCTGGGATTAAAGACGTGCACTACCATGCCTCCTGGCTCAGACAATACTTTAAACAGAGTATATACAGATATATCCTTGGAAATTACAAAATAACCCTATAAATCATTTCTAATTTTTTTTTTTCAGAGACAGGGTTTTTCTGTAGCTTTGGAGCCTATCCTAGAACTCACTCTGTAGACCAGGCTGCCTCAAACTCACAGAGATCTGCCTGTCTCTGCCTCCGGAGTGCTGGGATTAAAGGTGTGTGCCAACACTGCCTGGCACTCATTTCTAATTTTGTGTGTGTGACAAAAATCACTATTTAGCTGGGTGGTGGCACACGCCTTTTATCCCAGCACTCAGAGCCAGAGGCAGGAGGATCTCTGTGAGTTCGAGGCTAGCCTTGGCCTACAGAGCTACAGAGTTCCAGGACAGCCAGGGCTACACAGAGATGCCCTATCTCTAAAAACAAACAAACAAAACAAAAACCACCGTTTGATTTTATGCCGTCCTTTTCTCAGCACTGCACTGGACTGTATTTAAGGACCTTTGTATGTTGTTCTGTTTGTTTTTAGACAGTTTCACTATGCAGCTCCGCCTGGCCCTGACTTACAGAGATCTACCAGTCTCTGCCTCCCAAGTGATGAGATGAAAATCATGTATCACAGCCGGGCGGTGGTGGCGCACGCCTTTAATCCCAGCACTCGGGAGGCAGAGCCAGGCGGATCTCTGTGAGTTCAAGGCCAGCCTGGTCTACAGAGTGAGTTCCAGGAAAGGCGCAAAGCTACACAGAGAAACCCTGTCTCGAAGAAAAAAAAAAAAAGAAAAAAGAAAAAAAAAATCATGTATCACCACGCCCAGTTTATTTTAGTTTTTTTTTAGTTTATCATATGCATGCAGCAAGCATTCGATACTGCTGCTTTAAACAAATGGCATCATAACTCAATTTATAGCAACTTTAGAAGATAAATTATATTTATTCTGAAGAAGACTGCAGCTTTGGTAGAAAAGTTAAATGTGAAAGTGGCGAAAAGCCTGGGAGACCTGGGAGGTAACAGTGGATGTGAAGGGAGCTGCCCTGAGTCTACTCTAGAGTCTATGATTTACTAAGAGACAAGAATAAAGGAAGAATGGTACAACAGTCTTTTTCAAATCACATGGTTCAATAAAGGATTTCTACAAACACTTCTGAACTGGAAAAATGGCAGTATTGGAATCTGAGACATTCTTGACTTGCAGACATTAAAGTCATAATTGATTTGAAATTCATATTGTTCTTTATGCTAAAGAAGTAAATACAGAGGACAGTGCTCTTGGTTAAACACTATACTCCAGGACAAACAGCTGGTTAAGTACGAACTAAGTACTTGAAATGAACTAGAGTTTCTCAACTTACTATTTGGTTTCCTTCCTACTAAGTCATCCTCATGCTTAAAACATCTGTTTATGCCGGGCGGTGGTGGCGCACGCCTTTAATCCCAGCACTCGGGAGGCAGAGCCAGGCGGATCTCTGTGAGTTCGAGGCCAGCCTGGGCTACCAAGTGAGTTCCAGGAGAGGCGCAAAGCTACACAGAGAAACCCTGTCTCGAAAAACCAAAAAAAAAAAAAAAACATCTGTTTATAAAACTCCAATTCTATGCAAGCTTGTCAAATATTTGTCTCAGAATATAGGTCAAATGGAAAAGAAAAACATTACAGATATGTGGAGAATATATATACACACATACATATACACACTGGATACAAAGAGGCTAACAGGATCAAAAACAACTCATTTATGGATTTTCTTTCTGTTCGGGCTTCTCTTCCAGAGGCTGGAGGTTGAGTCATACTGTACACCCTAATACACGTCTTTTCAGTGTAAAATGCTGTTTGTCTCACTTGAGTGTGACAAGTAAGATGAACGCCATTTCAGACTGTGGGTAAATTTATTCACGATTGTTTTAAATGGGTGGTGTAAAGGATGCAGCTGCATGAATAGGAAGGTGCAGAAGAGTGGAAAGTTAATCTTAGAATATAGAGAATGCAATAGTAGGAATTAAAAAGGCTAGAGTACTTCATTTCTGTTGCAATTTCCCTCCATCTTACTAAGCAAATGGCAGTTACGTAAGGCTCCTGGGCACAAGCTGTGAGAAGCAACCAAGGGATGAATTACAGGGCTAAGCAAGCTCAGTTCTCCAGCTTTTTTAGGCAGGAGAATTCACAAAGCAAGCTGTACACATTTCATATGTGTGTAAGTCATGAAATGTATATATAGACAAAGGACAGCCATCTCGCTGGCCTCAAACTTGTAATTAATGAATTTCCCTTATTCTAAGACATATCTAGACGATCCCATCAGTGTTTCTGAAAATCATTATATAACTTGTTTTGTTCAAGTCAAGGTGTCACTATGTAGATTGGCTAGCCTGGAACTTACTATGTATACCAGGCTGGCCTCAAACTCACAAAGACCCACCTACCTCTGCCTCGCACATGCCCAGATTAAAGGCAAGGGCCACCACGACTGGCCATTACATGTTTTCATGCATGCATGTAATGCCATAGAGCTTCTTTTTCCCCCCCTCACAAGAAGCTGTAATTAACCCAAAAGTACATGAATAAGTCATGATATATATAGTATGCTACATGATCCTAAACAAAAATATTTTAAATCTGCAAAAGTTATGTAAGTAAATGTTTTGCTACTGAAAAAAAATCAACCTAGAGAAAAAAAGTAAAACTTTTTCATCTTATTGATTCAAATAACTGAAAACTTTGGAGTTGCTACTTTGTAACATTAATTACTTGTAAACGTATATTTTCCTATATATATAGTCTTTGAAGACTGGAAAATAATATGCTGGAAATGGATAGGAAGTGGTAAGAGCATGCATGTGCCTATTATAACAGGCATCACTAATTCTCTGTGTAGTTCTAGGGGCTGTGACTCCTCAAAAAATTAGGACTAAGTGGGAGTGGTGGTGTATGGTTTTAATCTCAATTTAACACTCGGGAAGCTAGGCAGGACGATTATGAATTTGAGGACAACCTGGTCTACATAGCATGACCTTGTATTTTAAAAAAAAGTTAAAGTGACAGTATCAACAAAAGGAATTAACAACACAGTTTAATAGATGTTATAATAAAAAGTATGTAAGAGCTAAGAGTTACTCAGTGATAGAATACTTAACTGGCATACACAAAGTACTGAGTTTGATTCCTAGCAATACACATGCATGCACACGCATGTGCGCACACACTCACACAGGGGAGGGGGAAGGAGGGAGGCAGAAAGAGAGAGAATATCTAACTTTTCTTTCTATAAATGTTTGATTGCTACCAGAAGGCTTCTTTGAAGCAATCACTTCTACATAAAGATTTGAAAGAATAAGAAATGGCAGGTCTGGAGAGTTGGCTCAGCGGTTAAGAGCATTGGCTGCTCTTCCAGAGGACCCGGGTTCGATTCTCAGCACCTACATGGCAGCTCACAACTGTCTGTAACTCCAGAATCCAACACCCTCACACAGACACACATGCAGGCAAAGGACCAATGCACATAAAATAAAAAAAAAAAAAAAAA